AGCTGCTCGCTCCAGGAAGTATATAGTCCGGAATGCCGTTCTTCCAGCTTGTCCCTGGGATAGCATTGCAGGTAGGCCACACCCCTGGGGAAACTCCCCTTAGGCAGACCTGCTGCTTAGAACTCAGCCATGTGATCCATCATGGGAACCACCACTCACAACTGGAGTCCAGCCAAGTTGACACATCTTCAACTATCACAGACATTTTCTGTTCTTGAATTAGTGGCCTGCTGTGTTGTTTGGTAATATCAGGACCCTGCCTTGTTACTTGTCAACCTTGGATTTGTCAGCCTCAGCAGCCTCCAGCTTCAGTGGGCTAGGAGCAGGAGGCAGAGCTGAAGCCCAAGGTTGAGGGCCTTTCACCCAGCACCTAGAGCTTGGCACTTGGAATTCGGACTCTTAGCCTCCCAAACGATAAGACAATAAACTCCTGTTTGTAAGAGCCATCCCACTTGTGGTATATTGTCTGTCAGAGCGGCACTAGGTAACCAAAACAGTGCATGTCTCAGTTCTCTAGTGCTGCTATAACAGAAATACCACAAGTGGATGACTAACAAACAGAAATCTATTCTCTTACAGTTTAGGAGGTAGAAATCTGAATTCAGAATGCTGGCTCTAGGGGAAAGGTAGGCTCTAAAGTTCAACTTCAGAGTGCTGGCTCTAGGGGCTAGGTGGAGGCCCCGTGACCTTGGGCTTCAGCTCGGCCTTCCAGACCCATTGGAGCAAGCTGGAAGCTTCTCCTGACTCATGCAGCTGCTGGCTGCTGAGGCTGACTAATCCAAGGTCAGCAGGCAAAATGGCAGATTGTTGGCTCATAGACTGCAAAGGCAACAATCCCAAAACAGGCAGGCAACGTGACAGGCCACTGGTTCAAGTCCAGGAACTGGAGATGAATGACTTGCCAAATGCAGGCTCCAAAATGAGCAAACAGTTAGAGATCTTTCCCAAAGCTTTTCCATAGATACTAAAAGCAGGTCACACCCCAAAGGCAACTCGCTTTCAAATGATTAGCAGCTCACTGTAGATTCCCCTATGGAAGTGATTATACCCCATCCAACCTCATCATGGAGAATAACTATATCCAACTGCCAAGCCACTCAAAAGCACAGCCCAGCCAAGTTGACATTACAACTGTAACTACTACAGTGCATATGACCCAAGCCATGGTATTTTCAGTAGCCTCACATGCATGTAAGAGCTGGACATGAATAAAGATCCCAGAAGAACTGATGCATTTGTGTTGTGGTGTTGGCAAAACACATCGAATATACCATGGACTGCTAGAAGAACGAGCAAATCTGTCTTGGAGGAAGTACAGCTGGAATGCTGCTTAGAAACAAAAATGACCATGTTGTCAGAAAGGACTAGTGCCTGAAGAAGGATAATATGCTTGGTAGAGTAAAGGTCAGCAAAAACAGGGAAGACTCTCAATGAAATGAACTGACACAGTGGCTGCAATGATGGGCTCAAGCATGGCAATGATTGTGAGGATCGCACAGGACTGGACAGTGTTTGGTTCTGATGTATATAGTGCCACCATGAGCTGAAACCTATTAGACAGCATCTAACACGACAGTAGGTTTTCTCTGTGGCCTGCCAGGGTCATAAGAGGCTGCCTGGGAGCAGCTCCTCCTCTTTGATGACTACTTAATTCCTCTTCCTCTTCCAGCTCTCAACTCATGTCACTTTCTTAGGGAAGCCTGGCTTCGTCCATCAGTTTGGTCTGATTCCTTTGTCCTGGGTTTCTCCAGAAGTATTTTTTCCCATGCAATCCCTTATTTCAGTTTGTAGTTACATTCATTAGCCTGACTCTAGTCTGGCATTCCCTGAGATGAGGTATTTTGCCTGTTTATGGATTGCCAGTGCCTGGGACAAGGTAGGCACCCAGTGCACAGTTGCTGAATGAATAAATGATTATCCAAATTTTGTAAGTGTCAGCATTTACTATGATTATGAGTATGACCATTTCATTTGTAGCCTGTGCTGTTTGACAGCTGAGTCTTCTACCTGGTGAAGACCATGGTAACTTTAACTCCCCTCCAGCTCCATCCTCTCCATCAACCAAGCAACCAGCAACAAAACCCAGGGTGTTAGAATATAAAGATGGTGTGTATGTGTGTTTGTGACTAGCTGGAAGCTGGCTGAGAACAAGGGAAAAAGGTCAGAGTCCCTGTCCCTCATTCGCACCCCAAACTTGACCACTTGCTAAAAAATTACACTGTTATCAGGCCTCTGAGCATTAAACAAAGAGAGCATTAGAATTGTGGTGCCTAACAGAGGAGGCATCATTTGGAGTACTGGGACAATCTGATTCTGGACTAGGAGCAGAGGTTTAGGGGAAGGGGGTGTGTCCCAACCTCCCAGGTTCAAGTGGGTGGCTTGCGAGTGACTGCCTTTTCTTGCCCCCACATGGTGTGTCCTCATGGGTTTGCTCTTCAGGTGTGCCTGTGCACTTGAGACAGGGAAAAGGGGACAACTATCAGCCCTGGGTCGCCACGGCAAGCGTCTTTACCATGCACGTCCTGAAAGCGCGGGGGGTGGCGGAGCAGCTTAGGGGTCGGGGTCCGGCTCTCCGGGGCGCAGCATGCAAGTGCGTAAAGCAGGAGGCAGTCTGGCCCCGGCGGAGCGCAGGGTGCGGGAGCCAGCGAGGGCCGGGGTCGTGGGCTGCGAGGCGCGGGTGCGGGCGGCAGGAGGCAGCGTCGGCCCAGCCGGCGCGGCCGTAAGCGAGCTAGCGAGCCAGCGCGCGGTGATGTCAGTGGCGGCCCGGCTGGCAGCAGCCGGCACTTCCTGTATAAAGGCGGGCGGGAGGGCTCGGCTGCAAACACCACTAGCCAGTGTCAGCCTCTCGGCGGGAGGAGGCGGCGGCGGCGGCGGAGGAGGAGCAGGGGGAGGGCTGTCAAATTCTGGAGCCAGATTTTTTCCCCTTCCCCTGGCAATCCCTTCCGCTTCCCCGGCTCCTGACTTGACATCTCCGGACCCGGGACCTGTATGTGTGTGCGCGCGGAGGAGCGGAAGAATGGCAGTGCTCAAACTCACCGACCAGGTAGGGGACGGAGGCGGCGGCGGCGGGCGGGACGTGCGGGCGCGGGGCGGCGCGGAGCCCAGCTGGGGGATGGGGGCGCGGCGCGGAGCGCGCCCGCGAGCTGTTTACTCCGGGCCAAGGGGAGGAGTGTGTGCGGCTGGCGGGCTGCCTCGGAACCCGCCGGCGGCCGCTCTCCTGCCCGGCGCCGCTCCCCGCCCTGTTCAGTCAGAACTGCGCGCCTGACTTGGTGCATCCGCGGCGCGCCGGGGGCTCCAGGGGACACCACCGGGCGCAGCCAGGGGGCGGGTTGCGGGCGTGTGCGGTGCTGCGCGCGCGGGCGTGTGTGGTTCGCGGGCCCCGGCTGAGCAGGAGGGGGAGGGGAAGCTGGCGGTGCTCCTCGGACTCCGCGGGGCTGCGCAGCGTGGGCTTCGCCAGCCTGTGTGCCGAGGTCTGTGCCTCCGGGAGGAGGACTATGCAGCGAGAGGGGGGAAAGGTCCGCAGCCTGGAACTCCTCCCCGGAGACCGGCCCAGCCCGCGTCTCTTGTGTGGTGGGGCTGTCTATCCGTTTGACACAACATCCTGACTTCCTCCTTACAAGCCCAGAAGTGCGGGTGCGTGCGTGTGTGCCCAATGGGCACCCTCGGAGAAGCGCTCTGGGCTCTGGTTGATCTCCCCGGAGACTGAGGTGGAGTCCCGCGGGGGCTCCACTCGCAGGCGGTGGGTTACCCCCTGTGCTCCCATAAGCTTTGTTGCTTTCCTTGCTGAGACACAGCACAGGGCAGCGCCAGGTCTGGTGTGCTAACACCTGACAGTTCTCGGCTCTGCTGCTCTTAGGAAGTGGGCACTCAGACGCCCAACCAAGTTGCATGACAGACTCTTGGCAGGTCCTTTCACGAAAAAAGGGAAGAGCTTGCTTACCCCCCCCCACCATTTAGAGAAATATGAACATTTTTTGGGGTGTCCTGATAGGTGGAGAGTTAGTCTTGACTTTGACACACATTGTCAAACGTGCCAGCCCTTGGTATCAAGCATCTCAAACTTCTCCAGTGGGTTCCAGTGGCGCCTCTGTTGTCCCGTTAGTGTCCAGACAGAACATCCTGTGACTTAAACGCAATCAGTCACCAAGATGTTTTGCCATGATTTGTTCTCGTGCTTTTAGATTTATATTTTTGGTTTGGTTTCCCTGAGTATTTAGAGGCTGATAGGCGGGAGGTGGGGGGATGAGGGGGG